TCACAGATAATGAGATGGGAAGAAGTGTCTCCCCGCGAAAGGCCTCCGCGACTCCCGATGACTTTTGCGACTTATTGGAGGGTGGTCCGATGGAGCAAGAAAACCGCCAAACGTGGGAACAACGACTGGGATTGCGCCACAGCGGATGCTATTGCAGAACTGGCTGAAAGGTGAGCAGGGATCACGGAGAAACGATTCGGACCTGATTGTGTCGCCAGCCTGCCGGTAGACCGGATGCTCGAGCAAGTATGGGAGCGGATCATAGGACTATCACAGTGATAGTCGCCAATCGCGGACGCCAATCATACGGTCGGCGGTTCATCAACGTTGCGTTACTCGTCGGCATCTCCATAGGTATTCTTGAGATATGTAATGGCTCAGATAGGAATCTTGTATTGATTTTGCCGCAAGTCATTAAATTTAGTCGCTGGCCACGGAGAAGAAACACAAAAGAGAGTCATATTGACAACGTGGAAACTACAAGTAGCTAATACGGAGGGCGGCGGTACGTCGGTCTGAGATAAGTTAAGAAGACAGATAGACAGATGCAATGGGATGACATACAAACTACTGGGTGGGCGCGGGGGGGGCGGCGGTGGGTGCAGCAACAGCGGGCGTGGGCGCAGGCGCAGCGACGACGACCTCGTTGAGCTTGATGACAGCGTTGTCGTTGTACCGGTTGCGGTAGAAGGCCAGGGCCTCAATGCGGCTTGCCTTCTTCTGGCGGAATTGGCCTGGGACGCCGTTGACTTCAGCGTCGGCTCCGACGCTGAGGCGATGGTGATTACTAAAGGGTTGAGAAGCGAAGGGGAAACGACTCACGAACTCCCATAGAGACCGGGCTCGCGCCCGACTATGACGACGTACCAGGCCTGGTGGTCGCCGAAGCCGGGTGGGAACATAGCCTCCATTTGGTCGGGGGTACTGGCGACGCCTTCAACGAATTGAGGAGCGGATGCTGGCAAAGACGGTGAGATTGGGTCGAGAGGCAGCTGAATAGATTTACGCTGTATAGCTGCGACCGCCTCCGCGACCTGGGAGGCGATAACGTTCGGGATAGCATCTAAGATGAAGTGAGTGAGGAAGCTTGAGGTCAGGCGCGCCATACCGTCGATGTCCATGGTGAGCTTCGTCATCTCGAGTGCTAGCTTGGACAGTGCGGCTACTTTGGCAACAAGCGCCGCCAGCTCTTGAGTAGGGGTGGGGGAGGTTGTTGCAGCGTTCATCAGGATGGTGGAGGAAAGAAGTGTGGTGGGGGAAGTGAAAAAATGGCAGACAGATAAGGCGAGGACTCCGAGAAAAGAAGGGCCGGCCATATTGGGAAGGAAGATTGTGGTCGCCGTCAAGAAGTGTGTGATCGATCGCTCCCACATACTGCGGTGGTGCATGTGGTTGATGAGGAGCTACCATCAAGATAGGGCGGGCGGGCGCCGGTGAGGTCGGATTGGGATGTCCGTTTCGGGATTTCAGGTTGTTTCGCAGCTTCGCTAGAAATTCAGGAGGGATCAGCCCCGGTAAGCAGGCGAAAGCGAGCGAAAGCGTTGGATAGCGCGGGGCCTGGTGGTCTTGAGCGGCCGCCGCAGAGATTTTGGGTGATTTTCTGGAGTAAAAGATGCTGAAGTCGTGCTGGATTGGGCAAATAAGGGAGTGGCGAGCTGTATCCCGCTGTTTTGTTTGCGCTATTCGTTCGGTATATTCTTCCGTTCGTTTGTTCTGCCTTTCCGGAGCCCAGTTCTTCACTTGGAAATACTCTGCAGTAATGGCGCCAAAACCTTGGGCGACGCCGGTGCAGCTGGCATACTTGGGGCTCCAGATGCCGGAGTACATTCGCCGCCAGGCGCAGAAGAAACTACACATGTTCTGGGGACCGATGGAAGAGGGCTGGTTCTCGCGATTTTCGGAGCATGCGTGTCTAGGACTTCCCTTGCCGAGCGACCCAACTGCGCCGGCACTCACCAACAACCAACTAGCAGCGTTGGGTCAAGCGATATCTGCTCGGAAAAAAGTAAGTCGCGCAACCGAGATGGGAGGAGGACATGTCTGACACGACTTACAACCAGCAACTCGCCAACTGGTACAGGCGCGAGCGGAACAAAATCCGCACTGGAAACGCTGGCCCGGGCAAGAAGCTGTCCCCCCTGGCGAAGGCGTTGGCGAAGAGAACTAAGCCCGTCGGTCGTCGTGTCCACCAAGCTGTGGAGGTCTTTCAAAAGCGACACAAGGACGAAATTCGGGCGGAGTTGACGGCCCAGGGTCATGACGCGATGAATGAGGCTGCACGAGTCGCAGCACAGGCACAAGATGACCCCCAGGAGACACGGGAGGAGCAGGAGCTGGCGGTGAGGATGTCAAGGTCGGAGAGGATGCACTTGAGAGGGAGGGTGGTGTCGAAACTATGGGCTAATGCGTCGGCGGAGGAACGTCAGGATGTGTACCGGGAGATCGCGCGGGAAAAGGCAGCGCTGGCGAAAGCGCAGCGGGAGGCAGAGGAGAATAATGGCACTCGTGAGAAGAGGACGGGGGAGCAGTACCAGGAGTGAGTCGCTCGATGAATTGTCATTCACAAGTCAATTGAATTTGTTGTAGGGGAGTGGACGGCTTAGACGAGATGTTCGAGGGGGCCCATGGACTGCTCGTAGAGAACGCGGGGTGGGTGGGTGTTTCGATTCTGGCAGGGCCCACGCCGCGAATGCCAGGCGGCGAAATCACTGTGAAGGTGTAAGTCGTTGATTGCCTAATGCGGCGCATGCAAAGTTTGTGCTTGTTGACTCACGATGACCACAGCATCTGCAGTGGCGAAACTCCTGCTGGGAACACTTTCGCGGAGTCTTGCGTCGATTTTGAGAAGCAGATTGTGGAGCAGTTCACGCAGTTCGCAGACCGCGTCTTCAGTAAGTGTGCTACATCGATTTGGCGGTTTGCGAGACTAATTGAGCCGCATAGGTGCAAGTACTTGTCGCGAGCGCGCAATCCACCCCACCTCTGAGCCTACGGAAACTCCTCCGACCCCGCCTACACCCCCCACGGCTGATGTGAACGTCCCTACTGCCCCGTCGAAGCCAAAACGCGTTCCAAAACCAAAGAAATCAAAGGCGCTCGTAACTTCGTCACCTGCTGCGTCTGTTTCGACAGCTGTTACGACGCTTCCTGCCCCCACTTCTGCGGGTACTCCAGGTGGCTCTCCCATTTTGAACCCCGACCCTGCCTTCTCGTTCTTAACCGCCACGACTACTCCAGGATCCTTGGAGAGGCTGGGCGCCTCACTGGATGAAGAGTTTGGGGCCAGCTTCCTGGACGGCTTGGGAATGAGTGCCAGCCTTTACGACCCCGCCTCCTTTGGTGACAGCTCGTTCGATGAGGCGCCCCCCTTCGATGACAGCTCGTCCCTCGGCGGGAGCTCCTTCGCCGGCGAGAATCTGTTCGGCGGCGATAGCTCGTTCAGCGGCAGCTCCTCGTTCGGCGGCAGCTCCTCATTCGGGGTCAGGTCCTCATTGAGCGACCCCTTCGGTGCAGGCGGGTCGCAAGATAGCGCTACGAGTGGCACGGGGTGGGGAACAACTTCATTGTCGTCAGGGGCGTTCACCCCCTCGGCCCTGCCCCCCCCGCGGCCCTTGCCCCGCCCCTCCTACATCGGTGCCCCGTTCCACAATGCGGCGGAGTCCGTCGGTGCCCGCTCTATCTATGCACCCAGCGCCCTGTTTAGCGCCTTTACAAAGACGCCGACGCCGACGATGGCTGCCCCGGCGAGCTTGCGGAGGAAGGCGACGGCCTGGGCAAGCCCGACGAAGTCAGCAAGTGTTGGTGGCCCAACGCACGCAGCACTTGCGTTGTCATCAATCCTTGGTGCACCCGTGACGCCTCCCATCCCCGCAATGCCCTTCATCCCCACCACGACACCCTTCATCCCCGCCGCGACCCCCGCCATCCCCGCTACACTCCCTGTATCCCGCTCTGTCGCTAGGATCATCCCCGCCGCGACGCCCGTGATCCCCGCCACGACGCCCGTGATCCTCACTGCATCACCCGTGATTCCCACCGCGACACCCGCCATCCCCTCCGTATTCCCCGTGTCGCGCCCGGCCGCCAGGATCCCAGTCGCAAAGGCAGTGCTGGCGAATACGAAGAAGGCCCCGCCCCAAAGGGGGACCAAGCGCACGGCGGCCGACGTTGAGGGGGAGGAAGAGGCGGTGGCGCCCAAGCGCGGACCGGGGCGGCCACCTAAGTCGAAGCCAGCAGGAACTGGGGAGGAGGGGACGTTGGGTGATGCGACAAACGCCAACGCACCGCCAAACCCCACCTATTCCTCCACCAACAACAATCGCGCACGGATTGTTGATGAGGATGCAGAGAAGAAGAGGGTGGCGGCAGAGAAGGCGGCACTGAGAGCAGAGAACATGTGCCTCCACAATGCTGCAGGAGAGAGGCCTCTCGTCGTCGTTACGGTACCTCGCGCCGTGCGCGAACGCAAGGCGGCGAAATTTCTGGATGGATCACTCGTCCACCTCGAGCCGAAGCTGACTCGGGCGCAGTTACAGCAGAGGAAGAATGCGGCGTCGGAGAACGCGCTGTTGGAGAGAACAGGGAGGGACGTACCTGCGGCAGCTGGTTCCAGAAAAAAGTAAGTCTCCTCACTGAAGTGCCGTTGCTCAATGCTCATGTGCGATTGACAGGAGAAAAACTAAGTAGATGTTTCGGTCCCTTGCAACCACCGGGGGTCTTGTCGCTCGCGCTGCTCAACCAGTGCTGCGTTTGATGCTGAGGCTGCTCAATCAGCCGTCTTTATTTGCTATCTGCTTGCTTGCGGTCCCTCAACGGACTTATTACCTAGTCAACTGCTCAACCGGCCTTTGTAGTTTAGATTGTCGCTCTTCAACTGGTGGGGTAGCAGTACATAGATCCCAATTTATTACTTGTGTGACAAAGAGGATGGCGTCCGCATCATGACTTGTGTAGACTTCGGTGTTAAACGAAATTAGATGTATTAAATGGCCAAAAAAAAATGCCTCCGCCTTGAGTCGAACAAGGGTCCTCCATTAAACGGGCATACATTATTCCAATATAGTTTGGAGGCACTACCGCTGTGCTACAGAAGCATTTGTAGCATTGATTTATAGAACAGTTATAAGGGAACCTTTTGGAGGCGGCGCTGATTTTGACTTAGAAATTTTAAAATTGTTGCAAGTGAGCAAGATTCTTATTCCTACGTATGTGGAGGGCAGACTGGAATGCAGAGAGACGTGGGTGATTTATTTCCCTAGGGGAGGAGTATACAAGTGAGATATGACGGGGCAGGCGGGCGCGGCAAGGCGTGGGAGGGCGCGGGAGGGCGTGGCGCGGCGGGGGGCGGTGCTGCGCGGCGGGGGGGCGGCGGGGCGGAGCGGGAGGACGGACATGTTTGCAGTGAGTACGTGGCCCGCGTGGGAGGGCGGCGCGGCGCGGCGGGGTGCGGCGGGGCGGAGCGCGTAGGAGGGCGCGAGAGGACGGGATCCGTGGCCTGCGAGGAATATCAAGGAAGGCGGGGTGTAGCAGGCAGTGGCGGACAAGTGGCGGGCAGCGGCGGGCAAGCGGCGGGCAGCGGCGGGCAGGCAGTGGGCAGCGGCGGGCAGGCGGCGGCGGGCGGCGGAGCGCGGCGGTGCTGTGGGAGGCAACCGTTGTAACTATTCCGGCGGAGAATTGCGGGTGCACAAGAGCCAGGAGGGTCGGAAGGCCCAAGGAAAAGCAGAAAATGGGGAACGCCGGGGGAAACGGCGGGGGGAACGGCAGGATGATGGGAGGGAGAATCGCAGGGGAAGAGGTTGTGATAGGGAGGAGACAGTATGAGCGACCTGGATGTCGCAAGGCGGCGTGCGGCGAAGCTGGGCACCGGGAGGAGGCTTTTGGGTGCAGGTATTGGGCAAGGCTAAGGGAGCTGGGCATAACAAGTGTAAATACTCCCGAAGCGGGAACTGCGCACGGGCCAGGGCGCGGGGCGCGGAAGCCCATTGATGGAGGGCGCAACGCGTACTGATGGAAGCGCGGCGGATTGATGGGGGCGGTGTGCGTGCAGGCGTAGGTAAGCCAGGAGCCTCGGTGCTAGAACCTGTGGTGATACATCACAACGCATCGCTAGTTAGCGGCGATAACGCATCGCGACGCATCGCTCACCAGCACTGGCATGATCAATCAATTCCCCAGATACGCCTGGGATTCTGCAGCCCAATGACCCCACCGGAGCGATGCAGGTGTCCGCGTCGTGGCGCAGTGCTGGAAGGCTCGCCACCATCAGCTGTTTCGATGTACGATGCATCCAGCTCTGCTGCTCACGCCCTCTCTGGCTCAGTGATTCCGCCGCTCTCGTGCGCTCTGGCGAGCCGTTGCTGTTCCCCTAAGTACCCGCAGAAGCCGGACCTCAAGCTTTTCCGCACACTAATGGCGTACAAGGTTCGGCTTCTTGAGCATACCCCTGCCTCCTCCCATGCAATTGCTGGTGATGAGGAGCGCGGAAAGATCATGTTCGACATGCGTACCTTCGCGCTCCACTGCTACTCTACATTGTCTGCCTGTCGACCGCGGCGCGATCTTCCTCACATCCACAGATCCCTGGGTCTTTCCCGGCGTCAATCCCAAGTGCATATGCCCCCGCAGGCTAACCAGAAGGGTGCAAGCACCTGCAGAAGGCCAACAATCTCGAGAAGCTCACGCGCCGCTAGCTGATCATCAAGATCGTGCGCTGGACAAGTTCGTCGACGCCGCAAACACGCCCCCACCATGCGGTCCGGCTCAAGACGGACGACGAGCTGCGCGATCTCGGGCGCGAGCACGTCGAGACGGTGTAACACCCGACGGGCATATGCTGGATGGCGGCGGCGGAGCAGGGCGGCGTCGACAACGCGCGGCGGCGCGTGTCCAGGTTCGATGAGCTGCACGTGTGTGACGTGTTAATCTTCCCGTGGATCGTCTCGGGGCACACGGCGGGCGGGTGCTATGCGACGGGGGCAGGAGCCCGCGGATGAGTTGACGGCCGCGTTCGCGCCCAAGTAAGTCTGATGGTGGGTGCAGGAAATATGGATGTACTTGTAGGTATCCTAAAGATTGTTGTAAATGGTTGTGCGGCGCATCCGGAATTCTCAAAACAATGCGTATCCGACATCTACATAAGTACATGGCATTGATCTGACCGTTGTACACCGACGCCCCACTCCTGACATAAAATGAAATGTATAGCGCACTAATCGAGCTTTCTCCGACAATAATCAATGTCTTTGGTGTCTTTTGGCATCAGTATAATCGTCTGACCAGCCGTCAGTATCGTCCACACAACACGAGCGACGCAAAAAGAGTGGTAGTTGGGACGGAACAGCCGGTCCACATTCCGAACGCCTGTGCGCGCTGGGGGAAGGTCTCATGTCACCTCCCCTCGCAGCGCAGCGAAAGCGACGGGACGAGCACAAGCACGGGGCTGCAGTTGCGTTTGGGCGCGTACTGGCAGTGCACCGCCGTCGTGGGCACGGGCGCGGTGTACACCGCCTGCACCTGCCGACGATGTGTCCGCGTGCCCACGCACGTCGTGCGCAGCGTAGACGTCCTCCAAGGTCGCGTAGCACTCGATTGCTGCGTAGGAGCGGCGTCCTCACGGAAGGCGGTGTAGTGCGTTTGCGACTGATGCGGCGACGGCGGGGGCCGGGCGAATCGGCCTGCAGCATGTACGACGAGGGGTAATGCTGCTGCCGCTGGAGTTGTTAGTGCGCGCGTTGCTGCTGAGTACGAGGTCAGCACGCTGCGGTAAGAGGTGTCAACGGACCATAACAAACAACATCGCGGGCCTCGTGGCGACTGACTGCGCGTAATGCGATTAACTGGCAACGGGCGAATGGTACGCAGAGCCGTACGAATTGGGCGCCGGGGACGCATCGCTCTGCTCTTGCCGTAGCCGTCTGGCGCGAAGCGCTCGGACGCCGAAATGACGGCCCAGGGCTGGAAAGTGGCTCAGCGAGCAGAAGCGGTGCGAGTTGTTACACGTCGATATGTATCCGCCGGCGTATCGATCTTGAGAAGCACCCACCCGTTCGTCGTGCTCTAGCCTGAGTGTGCTCGCGTCGAATTCTGGGCCTACGGTCGTGCGACGGACCAAGTGTACTGGATCCATTTTTCCGCCCGGGACTGGCAAATAAGCGTGTTGGGTTTCATAGACGCGCAGTTGGGTCCAGGTGCACACAGCTCCGTGGAGAAAGACAGAAACTGTGAAAGAAGAGGATGCACGTTATCAGTTCTTCAGCCGTCCCACGCTGACAATCAACGGATCTTCGGCCGATCGGTTTTGGCCCATTCAAGCTCGCGGACTTCAACTTGAACCTATAAAAATAACTTCTGTGGTATCAGAAATCTCGGAAAACCATTCAGAGGCCGGGAAACGGCGTCCTGAGCACGGAACTCTGAGTGTTTGTTTATGTTTCTTTTTTTTTTTTTTTGCTGACTGTCATCAATTATGCAAATGGCTGTAAACCTGGAAGCATAGAGTATACTATTATCCAAAGTGTTTGAGGGAAAACACTTGAAAACTGAGCCAGAACAAGCCCCGAATGCAAGAATGTCTTGATGTGAGTGAAAAATTTGATGCTCTGTTTTATTCAACCAGCAGATCCACATATAATCCAGTGGGGGTATTGATTCCAGCTATAAGATGATTTTTGTATTTTCACTGGATCCAAATTCATGACAGGAGGGCTGCTATCGAGGCACATCAAAAGGAGCGTGAAAGTCCTCCGGGTGCCGCCGGGGAGTTCTGAGTTGTCACACTCATGTTGATGCTCTCCCCCAGGAGCCATTCTGCCTCGAATTTTGCTCGGAAAAAAAATCTGGAATCATTAGATAGCCAAAGTGGGTGACTTTCCATAAGCATAGATAAATTCCCCAGAATATTTACGCACTTTCCGCCGCCATTGCCGAGGCAGCTGTCAGGACCCCATCAGCTCGGAGACAAGAATACGTACAAGATTAAGTCGAAATCTATGAAAGTCTGTAGAGGGGGTAGGGACCCCCCCTACAGATTTTATTAGATGGAATAAACTCTCTTGGGTGGTGATCGGCACTCTTCGCCTTCCTCCCGAGCCATCAAGCTACCCATTTGTCTCGAGAAAAGTCTGGTGCACTCCCATTGCCTGCCGGAGTTCGTTCCGGCCCTTGTTCACGAGTGAGGACCACACTGATTTGTATATTCTGTCTTATGGGAACGTCGGCCGTGTACAGACTAGTTGAATATTTCGTAGGTTGATCCCATCGTTGGCACTCTCAAACAAGCTCGGGGATTATTCTATGCTTATGGAAAGTCACCCAGTCATTCCACATACCGAATTTCATGTGAATTGGTTGCTTTAATAAAATAGAACATTGAATTTTTCACTTGCATCAGCACATTCTTGCATTCGGGGCTTGTTCTGACTCAGTTTTCAATTGGTTTCCTTCAATCCTTTTGCATATCCAGATGCCCTATGTTTTTAGGTTTAATCAGAGACACTTCCGAAGATATTCGAGCAAGAATTGAGTTCAAGAGAGGTGAACCATAGTCTAGAGTTTACCGCGCGCCCTGTGTTAGGCGGTGGGGGTTATTATATAATCGTCGGAGCTTGCAACCCATCAAAAGTGTCCCCGCTTCAGCCTGAGCACAGCGGACAAAATTTAAGAAGCCAAAAGACCTGGATTTGAGTTTCGCGAAGATGTGCCTGTTCAGGATTCTCGTATTTCCCGTGGTCGAAGAGAAACGCAACACCGCCATACTCACGTGACCAGCCCATCAAAATTCGGCATCGCGCTTGCGAGGTCCAGGCGAGGGAAGTGATCCCATCACCGAATCTTGAAAGACGCGTCGTAACCGTCGTTGAAGGTTCGAGAAATTTAATATTACATAATAAGACCCACCTCGGATCAAACACCTCGGGTAATCGACAGACTACAACATCGCGAGGTACGAGCGAAAATTGTTGTAGCGTCTGTTTATAAGAGACTAGGTGAACCATCAGTTCTGGATCATTTATTTCACGGACATTCCCGAAAACGCATGGCTGCATCGTGGCCACGGAAACATCCGAACACTTGACTAAACGGGTAAGTGGCTGGA